TGTGTGTGTGTGTGTGTGTGTGTGTGTGTGTGTGTGTGTGTGTGTGTTTGTGTGTGTTTTGAGACAGGGTCTCACTCTATTGCCCAGGCTGAAGTGCAATGGAACGATCACAGCTCACTGCAGCCTTGACCTCCTAGGCTCAAGTGATCCTCCTACTTCAGCTTCCCAGTCCCAAGTTGCTGGGATTACAGGTGTGTGCCACCATGCCTGGCTAATTTTTTTACTGTTTTTTTCTTTTTTTTTTTTTTTAATAAAGATGGGGTTTCACCATGTTGGTCAGGCTGGTCTTGAACTCCTGACCTCAGGTGATCTGCCCGCCTTGGCCTCCAAAGTGCTTGGATTACAAGCATGAGCCACCACGCCCAGCCTACTGTTTGTAAAGACGAGGTTTTCCCGTGTTGCCCAAACTGGTCCCAAACTTCCGGGTTCAAGTGATTTGCCCATGTTGGCCTCCCAAAGTGCTGAGATTGTATGTGTGAGCCACTGTACCTTGTCTAATTTAGCATTTTTCTATTGAAAACAGTAGTAAATCTAGGCATCCTTAGAAGCAATGACAGTATATGAGGTACAACTAAATGACTGAATAATGAGTGAGAATTATACTTATTCAAAACCTCTTTAATTATTCACAATGAAGCTTCTAGGGATAAGTAGCCAGGCCTTTGTTCTCTCATTTCCACAAGAATACCATAACCCCATCTTTCCAATTCATAAAGTGCTAAGAAGATCAATAAGTTCATACCTATACAACCACAGGGCTTTTTCAATAGCTTCATTCGAAAGAACTCAAATCAATTCTTAACCTCAAAAGGAATTTTATACTTTGTAGAGCAGGGTCATCATTCAACTCAGTCTCACTGACTAGAAGCCTACAGATTCTCAGAAGCCTGAACAAAGTTACAGAAGGAGGTGCCACTGGTATTTCAACAAATTATTTCTACCTCTGCCCTCTACTCATCATAAGGTATAAAGACTTTACTCATGAAAGTAAAGTCTTGCCCCCGCCCAGGGGGTATTAAAAAAAATAAATTAAATTAAAAAATAAAAAAAAGAAAGTAAAGTCTTAAAGGAGAATTAGAAAAAGAAGAATAACCATTAAAACAATGAATGTTGGATGCTAGATATCTTCTAGCCCAGCCCACACTTTACATGTAGGCATCTTTAGATACAAAAAAAATAGGCAAATGACAAAATCTCTTTGGTCTCAGACTACTCTCTCTTACATTATCTTAACACATGGTAGCCAAATTTGATCTTACAGATTTTTGGGGGCAATGTTATAGGTTGAAAGTTCATGTCCTCCCCAAATTCATATATTGAAGCACTAATTCCCAATGTGACTATATTTGGAGATAGGGTCTGTAAGAAGTAAAGAAGTTTAAATGGGGTCAAAAGGGTGGGGCCCTAATCCAATAGGGCTGGCTGGTTACCTTATAAGAAGAGAGACACCAGAGCTCCTTCTCTCTGCCATGTTAGGACATAGTGAGAAGGTGGTTATATTCACGTCAGGAAGAGGGCCCTCACCAGGAACTGAATTGGCTGGTACCTTGATCTGAGACTTCCCAGCCTGTAGAACTGTGAGAAATACATTTCTGTTGTTTAAGCCACCCAGCCTGTGTTTTTTTGTTATGAGAGCAGACTACGACAGGCAAGAATATATTTTTATTATTTTGCAAGAAGGTACATTTAAGGGCATTCTAGGTGTATGCTACTGCAGTAGGGTGAAATATGATTCCCAAATTAAGTCAAAAGTACTCACCCTCCTAGCAGAAGAGGAAGAGAAGGTATTTTGAGCTGGTGCTGGTATCTGCTCCGTGATACTACTCTTGCTTTCAGAGTTGGAATGGTTGACAAAGACTTCTGTCTTTTTATCTGTTATTTAAGACAAGAGAAGTAACAAGCACTACTATAAACATCTTACCTTTGTGTCTATGTCCTTTTCTGCTAATAGAAAAGGTTTGCCCATTATCCAAACAGATTATTAAGGCCTTGTAATGCTTGGATGTAAACTAACATAAGACCTTTTGCAACTGTTGGCAGAAGAAAATAAGCTCAATGTTATTTCCATCTTGGTAGGCTCCAAGTCCAACTTTCAGACAAAAACTGAAAACTATCTCCACTTAGTATATCATATACAAAATCCATCTATAGGGATCTCATCCTTTTCTACAGTTTTATCTTTCATTTCTTATGCAGATAATTTCTACTGGGTTCCTACAACTACTTTGAGGAGTTGCAGATCAAAGTCCAGATCTTAGGCATTCCACTTGCCAGCTATGAAACCTAATTCACCTACCCTCCTACAGTGTCAATTTCCCATTCTAAAAAGTGGTGTTAATAATATATACCTCAGAGTGTGCCTGTGAGAATGAAATAAAAATATTAAAGTGTGGTGCAAAGTAAAAAGCACCACACTTTTAAAGTTTTACTGTAATTCCCTGAACTAGATGCAATGTTTCTTACTAGTAAATACCCTTGACTGCACTTATATTTCTCATGTGACATGTATTTTATTCATGTATACTCCTTTCTATTTCCTGACTAGATATATTCAACAAAAAAATATTTAATAAATGTGAATGTCTGTTATGTTCCAGGCATTGAGTTGAGACCTGGGAGTTCAATAATAAACCCAGAGTTCCCAGACAAAATGATGAGTGCTACAGCAGAGTTAAGTAGGCAGTGCTAGAATAGAAGAACAGTGAGGTGGCCCATTTCCTTTCAGCTTCCCATACCAGAACAACTTTTTCAATCTGCTGGATCCTATAGTCCTACAGAAATCACTCAACAAGCATTGATGGCCTGAAATGAATTTAGGCATAAATTGTGCAAAAAAATGTTCAGGAGCAGGAAAGCTCGGGGCATGTTTGAGGAAATTCAGCAGTCCAGCTAGCCATAATCTAGCTCCAGCTTGACCTTTCTATGTACAGCATTGGAAAGGTCAGCTGGAGCTAGATGATGAAAAGTCCTGAAGGCAAGAGCAGGAGGCTTGGGGTTTATTTACTCTGCAGGCAAAGATAGAGAGAGGGAGGTAATCATAGGTTTAAATAGAGGTGTAGCATAATCAAAAGGGTACTGTGGGTGTTTATACCAATAGCGATGTGAAAACAGACAACAGAGAACAAGAGATCTGAGGCAAGGGTACAAATCACAAAGCAATGACAATAGTTCAGGCAGCTCCCTCCCATTTTTTGCATACCTTAGCCACTAACAAAAGTGATCTAGCATAGCGCAAGTTCAGATATTTGTTCAAAATACTTGAAGGCTAGAATATGTAAGTTCTCAATAAATAATCAAATATCAAAAAGATGCACATTTATAAATTCTGACAGGTACTATAATGGCATTTCCAGAGCAAACTGCGATGACTAACAATAGAAGTTCAAGTCTCAATGAATAAAAGGTCATCTCCTACACTGTAAACTTAGCTGTTGCCTGTCTTCTCTATAGAACTGATGCTTCTCTAACTTCCTTTGGTGACTGACATTCAATGAGCCTCAGAGATTGAGACATTAAGAAGGGTAGTATTCTCCCATAATGGTGAGAAATCATATAAGCAAAGCCAGACCACATCAGGAGCTGGTGCCGACAACAGAGTAAGTTAAATATCTTCATTATCAGTAGGTCGGCCACGGCAGAGTTCACAGGAAAGCACAGACTCCATTATAAACTCAATGTGTGACCCTTTCCCCCTATCAGAAACATTTCATCTTATCATGGACTCCAGTTTGGAGGGATGATATGGTAGTGAATGTGGGGCATAGGTACACTGTAAAATTTTAGTTTATCATTAGCTTCCAATTATCTAATGAGAACTATTTCTGTTGCAGTTGAACCTCTATTCAGTAAAAGCCAGTATTCTTTTCTCAGTGTTTACCTGACTATAAATCAAAACCTGTGGATTATTTTATAGCTTCTTGGTCTGACCACATTCAACACTTCACTTTCACTGTTGAGATTCCTGTCTTGTCAAACAATAAACTTAAGAAGCTCTAGGGCTAGGCATGATGGCTCACGCCTGTAATCCTAGCACTTTGGGAGGCCGAGACAGATGGATCATTTGAGGTCAGGAGTTTGATACCAGCCTAGACAACACAGTAAAACCCTGTCTCTACTGAAAATACTAAAATTAGCTGGGTGTGATGGCGTACACCTGTAGTTCCAGCTACTGGGGCAGCTGAGGCATGAGGATAGTTTGAGCATGGGAGGTGGAGGTTGCAGTGAGCTAAGATCATACCACTGCACTCCAGCCTGGGCAACAGAGTGAGACTCTGTCTCAAAACAAAACAAAAAAAAACCTCTCTATATGAGGTATATGTTATCAATAGCCATAAAGGTAAATATGATTTTGTTCCTTCTTCATTCCCCAACTCAGATAATGAGGGGGAAAAAGATTTTAGAATTCTGTTTAGGGACTCACACAAACCTGAGAATTAAATGCAAGTATTCACCAGTTGGTTTGACCCTAAGAGCTTCTGCAAGAGCTCATCTTCTTTGCCTCTCAGCACACTGACATTTTGGAATCTGGCCTCTATGCCATCTACCAAGCTGGGGTAAGGACAGGTGGATCCCTCACATAAGTATTATTATTTTTTTCTTTTTTAATTTTTTTGTAGAGACAGGGTCTTGCTATGTTGCCCAAGCTGGTCTTGAACTCCTGACTTCAAGCAAGCCACCCTGCTTGGCCTCCCAAAGTGTTGAGGCACTGTACCCGGCCTTCACCTAAGAATTCTTTGTGTGCCTTATTATATGGCTACGCAGAAATCAGCAGATATAGTCTAACATAGCTCACAGTTTTTGTATCAGCTGGTCACCAGCAATTTGATCTCTTATCCTTGAAAACTAAACTTCAAGCTCTTTTTGGAGTCCTGTGAGGTGCTCCAAAGGTGCTAGCTCTCTGACAAGGAGTAATCTCCTTATACTATGGAGATAGAGGATCTTTACTATGAACATCTTTGTATTACCTGCCTCCTTCTCAGTTTCTGACTCAGAAGCTTCATCTTCACCTTCCTCCTCCTCTGAGCTGGAGCTACTAGATTCTTTGTTTTCTTCCCCCGTCTCTTGGGACTTAGGAGTCTCCTCCTCATACAGCATCTTCTCTTTGCTAAATTAAAGATGACAACTTGGGTATAATTCAGAAGTGATAATCAGGTATAATAAAGTGAACAAGTCTATAAACCTATATGTGGAAACAATAACAGAAACATATTCAAATTCTTCTTTACATCTGTGTGTTCTTCTGAACCCTTCATTTTTGCAGACTAAGATTTAGTATTTGACTACAGAGTATGACTCAAGGAAATCTGGCCTGTTTAACACACGGAAAAAAAGAAGAGCTATGAATTTTGATGATGGTGGGTACATATTCAAAAAAATCATTTAACAAATGTTTACTAAGTACTTATTACATGCCAGGAATCATGCTAGGCACTGGTATAGTCGTAAACAAAATAGACAGTGTCTCTTGAGTTCATGAAACTTATAGTAAGTAAAGGCAGAAGCTGAGACTAAGAACACCCAAGCCAGGATTTTAAAATAGTGCACACAGTCTCAATTAATTTTGAAGTTTAAAACACAGTCAGCCACCCTTAGTATCCCCCTCACATATCAATGCCACTCTCTTGCCCCACAAACTTTCCCATAAGTTTATAGATCATTCGGCTAAATACAAACACAGAGTTTCTTCACTTGTTACGTTCTGAAATTAAGTAGGTGAATGACACAGAACAAATCTCATCCCATTCCTTAAACCTAAAAGTCTTACTTTTTAAAGAGCCCACTCTGCATCTTGCTATTTAGGTCTGACTCAATGAGTTTATTCCGTGTCTCCTTTTCACTTCGAAGCTGGAAATGGAGAAAACAGAGAGAAAAGGGAAGAAGTTGACTACTGGTGAAAAATCATCAGTATTGAGAACCAAAATGGTACTGTCATTCTGAAGAAAACAGGACCAACACCAAAGAGGTAGAGGGGAACCTAAGAAAAAGAGAAACATATCAGCTGGGTCTCCTTAGGTGACAGAACTCATCCAAGATAGAATAGAAAAGCCATAGTGTTAAGAGGTTCAATAAAACTGCTCCTATCAAATATCCAAACCCAATCTTCAATAAAAGCCTAGATTCTGAAGGATAAAAAGCCAGAAGGAACCTGAAAGAATTCTTTATGATTCATATACTGAATAAGTTGGCAACATTTCTAAAGAAAACACAGGTACCAAATGGGAAAGAAGCCCTTAGAGAAAATGGTCTGCTATTTAGATGCATGCTCTAGACAAGATGTATTTATATCCCTGGAACTCCAAGTTATGCAGAGGGCAAAGAAAAGTACCATTCCCACTGGTTTAGAAATATTATTTCATGAATAATACTATCAATGTTCAAAAACTGAACCATGCTAGGTAGAGAATACACAGGAAATCTCTATTTTTGCAAATTCCATGTGAGTCTAAACTTATTTCAGAATAAAAAGTTTTAAAAATTACAAGAACCTAACTGTGCAAAGTATACATCTTATAATTAGGAAGGCTGTTGCTGCTAAATAACAGCATTGACACTGTATTTGAAAATCCTGGTTTCAGTGATCCTGATTGCTCAACAGAGAGAACAAAATGAACTTTAAGTTGTGTTTGTCTGAGCTTTACGTACGTGACTTCCCCACTGAGCCTTAAAATAACTAGAATCTTCACTTTCCCATTCCAGACATAATGCTGAACACAGCAGAGGTTAGGTATGGTTGATCTGTCCCATCACTGAGCTATGCAGTTCTTTGATTCTGAACTGCTGTTTCCCACATCTGTCCTAAACTTTAGTTTATATTACCTGAGTGACAGCAAGTACAAAAGAAAAAAAAAAATGCCATTGACTTTTTTGTCCCTAATGTCCCACCCTAATATCACTGATCTTTATTATCCTCAAATTATTCATCTGCTTTATGAGTAAAAAATATGGCTTATTCACTTTTCATCTGTGTATTGGGTGGGTTTTCCATTCTGCAGTTTGAACACAAATACCATACTTAAGTAGTTCTCTTGCATAGCACTAATTAAGCCAAAGGCACGCATGACCAAACAATAAAAGATTTAAAATGAAGAGCAGAGAAAGGAGGACTGAATTCTGGATGTTTCATAAAACTGGAATAAGTATGAATCACTGACCAAATACTCCCCTATAACAAATGGCGGTTTTAGTATTGTGTGTTTCCTTATTTTTTAAGAAAGAAATATATTCCTCTCTGTAATCAATGTACTTAAATAAAGATAGTCTTTTAGTCAATAAGATAAAAAAAAGTCATGAGGTGTCCTCCACTCTGGTACTTTCTATTTCGAAAAACCTCTGATTTGAACATATCACATTCATTTTCTAGAACTCAAGGGTAATTATTAGTTTTTTTGTTGCTATTTTAACTTCCAACTCCTTGAAGGCTATCTTATAAGGAGCAAAAAACCTGAACAATAATGGTTTCTGGGATACATTTTTCTAGCAGACTGTTTATGTTCCTGAAGGAAACAATGAACATCTCTGGAAGGCAGATATGTCCATTTCAACTCTCGGCAGACATAACTGAAACAAGTGATTAAGATACTTGGTGTGAACTGCAAACTATTAGAAAAGTTTTGAAAGCACCAATAAAAGACTTACCACATTCTGCTTCTTCTGGAGCATCTCCAAATGTTCCACGAGACCCTCATCAGCTACGTCAAATGGTGTCTGGCCCTGACAGAGAAAAGGGACACCATGATTGATAGAAAACAGAAGAAGCAATCATGTGACTTTATCAAGGAACTATTCAATAGTCACTTTTTGCCTTTGACTCCAATAATAGCCACTTCCTAATCTACCACACATTATGATAACAGCTTCATCTATCACAGAGGACACATAACAAGAAACACCAAATTCTTTAAATATAGAGTTTGTACAACAGTATTGAGGAAATAGCACCATTTCTAATCCTCACTGTCATTTGGCAAATAATAAAGTGAAATCCCTACTTGTATCTGTTCTAAAATGGTCTTAATTGCTATGATAAATTCCATAAAGGACTCTTCAAAACTGCAGAGAGAGATACAGGGCACATGTGTAATAAAGATTGAATCATAGGAATCATCTTCCATTCATTATTCATTCATTCATTCACTCATTCAATCATTCAGATAGGGTTTCACCTTGTTGGCCAGGATGGTCTGATCTCTCCTGACCTCGTGATCTGTCCACCTCGGCCTCCCAAAGTGCTGGGATTAGAGGTGTGAGCCACCACACCCAGCTGAATCATCTTCCTTTAAGTGAGAGGAGGACTGACAAGAAAGTTACCTCTATTAGGAGCCATCAGCTTAATTAATAACCCTGATCCATAGTCTGAGAATGAAACATGGGTTCAGGAAAGATGTGAGGCAGATAAGAATATCTACTAATTAAAAGGCCATATCTCTGCACTCCTCAAACAAGGGCTCACACCTGTAATCCCAACACTTTGGGATTACTCAACTCAATATTCACTTTTTGCCTTTAATTTCAATAGTAGCTGCTTCCCTAACTAGTCTGCCATACATTATGATAAAGCCTTTATCTATCACAGACGACACATAACGAAAAACACCAAATCTTTTAAACACAGAGTTTGGGATTATAAGTGGCAAGGCAGGGGAATAACTTGAGCCCAGGAGTTCGGGATCAGCTGGGAAACCAGTGAGACCCCATGTCTACAAAAAAAAAATTTCTAATTTTAATTAAAATAAAATCAGTAGACATAGGGGATAGGAGTTCCAGAGCTTCTAAGTTGTTTGAAGTGAGGCTGAATAACACTATTTTCTGTCAAACTCAAGGACCTGTCATTATAACATTTTAATGACTCATATAAATACAGTAACAACAAAATCTTTCATACCTCACCACAGACAGTAACATTAGGCTCCTCAAAGCTCATTTTTTGCCAAGAACAAACATATATATTTTTCCTGTTTTAGAGGCTTGAACATAAAATCAGAAGGTCCATGGGGTTTTATTTTGAATAACAAACATAACTCTGTGTTAATAGGGCCAGAGGCAGGGTGATGAAAGGTAACATCATAGCTACCAATGATGCATATTTCACCAGAACAGTCAGGCTGCCATCGAATAGAGATGTTAAGCCTTTTATTCTAGAAACCCAGCCACCAATCTCATTGTTCTTTTAGAGGTTCAGGCTCACTAACCAGTTTGTTTCGAATATCCATGTCACAGAGTGCTTCTGCCAGGATGGAGCAAGCCTCCTTCACTCCCCAGTGTGCAGCAGCATGGAGAGGAGTCCAGCCATCGTAATCCTGAACATTGAGTTCATAGCCAGCCTGAATTAAAAGTCTAAAAAGAAAACCCAAAACAAGACATGTATCTCCTTTTTATTACAGTTCTCTGGCAAGCAAACTATTACCTAATTGATATTTCAGGTTTTGGTCCTGAACTACAGGGGTCTTAATGATTACTTCTGCCCTCTAAGGCACAGTTTGGGTTTCATAGTTACTACTTTGTGTACCAATCATAGATAACCTTTACCAATCTTCTCAAAAAAGTCATATTTCCTAGGCATATCCATGTTACACCACACAAGGGGAATATACAGAAAGGTATGTACCTAAGATTAACCAAAGCGTAATTCAATTAGCCAAATCACATAACTCTTAAAGGTACATTTTCCATTTTCCAGTGCAGGGAGGAAGTAACATAAAAATGAAGACTCTAATAGGCTGTGGTCATTCTATCTATCTGTAATAGTGACAATAAAAATAAAGTTTTAAAAAATAAAATAAAATGAAGACTCATTCTCTTCAGGGTATTTTCCCAACTAGATTTCTGGTTGTCTTTCTAGGATACTGTATTTATTATAAACCCACATACCTCCAATTTCTTGCTAACTATAAAGCTGTAATTTAACTTGTATGCACGGAAGAGAAAATATTTGACTCCTAAAGACCCAAAAACTACATTGGGCCCTTATGGATAGCACTCTCAGGGAGAAATGGAGCACCAAAACACTGCTATACCTACTAGAAACCCCCTATTAGGTGAAACATAAAATACTACAAGAGTCCAGTTAACAACTGCACGTATAATGCCTTTGGCAGTCCATGTATTTGGGAAAGCCTGTCAACATTAAGTACCAATAGCTATCTAAAGCATGTATGGATGTAAGGAAAATGGAACAGAGAGTAGTAGAGTCCAAATCCCTCATATACGTTTGACTATCCTGTGCCAGCTGGACACTGCATACTCAAGATTTGTATAATTAATCTAATGACACCAAATAAATTATATAAGTCAAAAGGGAACAAATGATCACAAGTATTACAGGTCACAAGAAGAGGTAGTTGCAGGGATATTAATGACAAATCATAGAACTGGAAGAAGTCACCTCCTAGGACAGTGTACCTCAACTCTGTTTCACATCATACATGTCAGTGAGAAGCTAGAGGAATGGTAGGAGGGAGGGACACAACCCATGGACGAATACGAGCAAAATGTGAGAAAGTCTGCACAGGGAGGAAACCAACAAAAAAGGAAACACACCATAGCAGAAAATTTAATTCAGCCTCTGCTTCTAAAAGCCATTTCATCTTCTCCCAGTGAACCACTCCTGATTGATATAAATGGACAATACCTGAGAACTTCAGAGTAGCCCTTGGCAGCAGCCACATGAAGGGCTGTAGCCCCTGAGCGAGCCTGCCTCACATCCTCTATTTTCCCACTGTTGAGCCACTGGCGGGCATCCTGCAACATCTGCTGCTCTTCTTCTTTTCTTGACTGCTCTAGATCAACTCCTACAGAAAGCAGATGCCAGACAGCCAGGATTACTAAAGCTCCACTTAAGTTTGACAGGTTATTTTCCTTAGATTAAAGCACATCATAAATATAAATATAAATAACAATTTAGCCATCAAGTTGGTATTATCAAATTTAGAAGATCAATGGCATTTGTACACATATTAATGGTCTTACCAGAGTTAAATCATCAGGTTAAATATTATATGATACAGATCCATTAAGGGAATGTACCTAAAGTTGTTTTCAACAGAACATAAAGACAAAGGGGACATTATTTTTACATTATAATATTTGTACAAAGCTATAAACTTCCAGGTCTCTAAAAATTTTAGTTTTCCAACAGTCTTTCAAGGTATATATAATACACAATCCCCATTTAACAGATGAGGTAATAAAAATAGAAAGTTTAGGCATCTTGCTCAAACTCACAAAACACATTAGTGACAGAGCTTGCCACTAGAACTCTGATATCCTGGTTCCTCTTTGTCATTCTTCTTCTGGGTCCCTGTCCACTCACTATACCATAGGATTAGTATCCAAAATCTTGGTTTCAGGTATTGATATACTTTAAAAGTTGAACTATCTCTAAAGTTCATTTCCATATACAGGTAAATACACTGATTTGAAGATATATAATCTAGAACAGATTAGTAGGTGATATGCAGTTTAAAAATCTGTCTGCTTTCAAGGGAATGCAGATTTTGTTTCCCTTAAAAACATTATGAAAGAACTCTAAGAGTTCCTCCCTTTAGCCAGTAACTCTCCAATATCTATGCCAGAGAAAAGGGGTTAGGGTGGGGCATACCCCATTACACAAAATAATAAAATGTCTCAAATACAAACATACCCATTCAAAAAGTTTTACACTCATTAGCAGTCTTTGTGCTTGGTCTGCTCCCTTTCAGCTCTTAAAAGAGAACCTGCCAGGCACTGTGGCTGACGGCTATAATCCCAGCGCTTTGGGAAGCCAAGGTGGGTGGATCACCTGAGGTCTCAGGAGTTCGAGACCAGCCTGGCCAACATGGTGAAACCCCATCTCTACTAAAAATACAAAAATTAGCTGGGCATAGTGGTGGGTGCCTGTAATCCCAGCTACTCAGGAGGCTGAGGCACGAGAATTGCTTGAACCTGGGAGGCATAGGTTGTAATGAGCCCAGATTATGCCACTGCATTCCAGCCTGGAGACAGAGCGAGACTCCATCTCAAAAAAACAAATAAAAAAGGGAGAACCTGTCAACTGTGTGATTTTGGGAGATGAATGGGGTGAAGAAGTGACCAATTTAGAACAGATCAGTACTCCAAACACAAAGAAGTGTTAGCAGTGCTACAAAGTTAAGCATATACATAAATACCGCTTTCTTTTTAATTAATTATTTTTTTATTTTACTTTAAGTTCAGGGGTACATAGGCAGATCCTGCAGGATTGTTACATAGGTATATACACGCCATGGTGGTTTGCTGCCTCCATCCTCCCGCCACCTACATTAGGTATTTCTCCTAATGTTATCCCTCTCCAATCTCCCCAAACCCTGCTATCCCTCCCCTAGACCCCCATCCCCCAACAGACCTCAGTGTGTGATGTTCCCCTCCCTGTGTCCATGTGTTCTCATTGTTCAACAACCACTTATGAGTGAGAACATCCGATGTTTGGTTTTCTGTTCTTGTGTCAGTTTGCTGAGAATGATGGTTTCCAGATTAATCCATGTCCCTGCAAAGGTCATGAACTCTTCCTTTTTTATGGCTACATAGTATTCCATGGTGTACCTTTTCTTAATCCAGTCTATCTTTGATGGGCATTTGGGTTGGTTCCAAGTCTTTGCTGTTGTAAACAGTGCCAAAATGAACATACATGTGCATGTGTCTTTATAATAGATCGATTTATAATCCTTTGGGTATATACCCAGTAATGGGATTGCTGGGTCAAATGGATAAATATCTCTTTCAACAGAGTATGCTCCTTAACTGAAGAGTCAGCAATCAAAATAGAAAAAGTGGTTTCTCCAATCAAAACTATTTTTTAAAACTTGATTTTTTTAAAGTTATTTGTACATTTTAAAGCAAATCTTAGGAGATAAAACAGAGTGAGAACGGAGGTTAAGCTAAGCATAAAATTCTTCAATTCAATAGAGCACAAAACCACGCACTATAGCTCATGCCTGTAATCCCAGCACTTTGGGAGGCTGAAGTGGGCGGGTCACTTGAGGTTAGGAGTTTAAGGCCAGCCTGGCCAACATGGTGAAACCCTGTCTCTACCAAAAAATACAAAAATTAGCCAGGCATGGTGGTGCACACCTATAGTCCCAGCTACCCGGGAGGCTGAGGCAGGAGAATCACTTGAACCTGGGAGGCAGAGGTTGCAGTGAGCCAAGATGGCACCACTGCACTCCAGCCTGGGCAACAAAGTGAGACCCTGTGTCAAAAACTATACACGGAAGGCAGCAAAAGCAAGTAGTTACTGACCTAGAAACATCATTATATTAAGGTAAGATCAGCATACTTTCTCTAAAGAGCCAAATACGAAATATTTTCAAGTTTGTGATTCATCCAATCTATCACAACTACTCAACTCTGCTGTTGTAGCACAAAAGCAGTTCTGGATAATACGTAAACAATGCACACAGCAAGAATTGGCCCTGACTGTTCTAAAAGTTCCTATTGGGAAAGACCACTGGAGCTAAATCCTCTGGGATGAACTGCAGATTGTGAGTAAGGTAGTTTAGCAGAACGACTGAAAAAAAAAAAAATGACTACAAATCTTTTCCACAGAGTTTTATGATAGAAAAATAACCCAGGGACTTCCAGGTAGAAGAATTACATCCTATTCTGTGAAACCGATTCTTCTAAAACTATAAAATAGGCATTTTGAGAATACATTATTCTAAGTTAGCGTCCTCACCTTAACAAATTATCATAATTTTCATGATTAGTTACAATAAATATCTTTAGCAGCACCACTTTTAGCTCTCATCAAGGGAAAAGATGCAAAGTCACAAACTGAATTTGGCTAATACTCAGATTTACACTGCATCCTACCTTGCACACACACAGTAAGAAATGTTCACACTTCTTATCAGGTCACTCTTAACTGTATGATGGGTATGCAACCTCTGAATGGCCAAAAAAAAAAAAAAAAAAAAAAACGGAATAACTGGTCATCCTTTTGGCATCTGGCCTATTTTTGTGTGAGTCATTATGAGGAAACATGATGCTGGATTAATGATTAATGCATTTCAGATAGATCAAATCTTCTCCTGTCATATGATAGTGAAACACTCTACATAACAAATGGATTATTTTCTGTAAATTGCAGTGTTTGAGAATCTTTCCTGGCCCCCTCCAATCCATGAGGTTACCTTGCTTCTTTACTTGCTCCAGAAGAAGATCCTTCATGGCTAGCTCTTCTGCAAGGTCAGAGGGAACTTCACCTTCACTATTGACAATACCTACACTGGCTCCGTGGTTAATGAAATACCTGCATAGACAAGATCCAGGATCAGTATTATCTGGCAATCTAATGTAAATTTATACACTCATGCATCTGGTATTCAATACACAGCAGTCTCTATTTTGAGTTTAAAACATGGTCCCAGATAAGATATTCCATTATTAATTTCTATGTGCCTTAAACTTCAGTAATTAAGACTGAGGGCTTCCCCATTTCCTAATTAGAGCAATGCGAACAAACAGGGTTTCTTTCACACTCATATTACTAACTACCAGCCTCTTACTCCCAGTGGATGGCAAGAGGATTTCTAAGTAACATAAACAAGGCATGCAGCCTTAAACATTCCCAATACCAAATTGGAGCTTATTAAGTAGTGTTGGGGGTGTGAAAATAGAAGAATAAAGCATGCATTAAAATATGCATAAATCTACCTTAATTATGCCTCCACAAGACTCTCCTATCAACCAATCAACCACATGAAATCTTTCTCTATTCTAAGATTAAACTAAATTACTTAAGAAGAAATATTAGGCTGGGCGCAGTGGCTCACACCTGTAATCCCAGCACTTTGGGAGGCTGAGGCAGGTGGATCATGAGGTCAGGAGTTCGATACCAGCCTGACCAACACGGTGAAACCCCGTCTCTACTAAAAACACACACAAAAAAAGTAGCCAGGCATGGTGGCAGATGCCTGTAATCCCAGCTACTTGGGAGGCTGAGACAGGAGAATTGCCTGAACTCAGGAGGCAGAGGTTGTGGTGTGCTGAGATCACGCCATTGCACTCTAGCCTGGGCAACAAGAGTGAAACTCCACCTCAAAAAAAAAAAAAAAAAAAAAAAAGAAGAAGAAATATTAAAATGTTAAATAATTAAATTATAAATCTCAATAGAATACTTGATTCTGAAGAAGAAAGTTCTGATAATTTCAGTATCTTACACAGATCTTTTCTGGTTTTCAAAGTGCCTTCACATAAAATTATATCATAAGTCTTAGGCAACATTTTTTTTTAATGGGCCGCTTACTTTAATAACAATACATATACCATGTTATGATGGAATGTAAATTCAGTTTAGACAAGAGAATTTCACAAGTGTAATAGCATTCTGTACTATACAAAAGTTTGGGTATACTGTTTGGCCAGACCAGCTTGCTCATAAGTCATTAATGAAATCCATTATAGGTCATTTGTTCAGTTTAATGGTTACAATTCTTATGGAAAAAAATAAGCAATGCACACATTTTAAAAGTGTTCATTTACCTTTGCTATGAGTGCTTAAAATACATATTTCTATTTCAAGATGACATTCAAAATTTATTCTAATATAACAGCAGCAAAAATATAATTCGCAGTTACACAAGAACTAAACTAGAATCTGTGAATTATATGTTTACAACTCAGATTCTTTAATAAATACTACTCTAAGCTTTCTACATTTGGTTTAAACACATGCACATATACATATTGTTACTTGTGGAAAGCTTTACAAGTTATATTCCGTGAACTTTTTGGACAGAGTTCTAAAAGGGCCAGCCTGTCCACAAAACAGGCAGAAAAAAGTTAAATTGACTGGGGCAAATAGGACTCTCATATAACATCCAAAACATCTGAGATTCTGCAGCAAACTGAGAGTACTTCAGGGTTGGCCTGTTATTTTCTTTAGAACTAAGTTCAGCCGAACAATTTAAGAAGGTGGACATTTCAACATCATCAAGTGCATTTAGGTGATATGTTTCCTTCAAGTTAACTTGACTTCCTTGAATGACCTAGTTAGTAAACTAGCCACTAGTAATGAGGTCACACCAGGCAAATCAAGCCTGCAAGAAAGGAAGCCAATATTCAAAATGCCATTTTACCATCTAAACCCATACAAATTAGTTTATTTTCAACAATACGTAACTTCAATAAAGAGATGTCTAACTAAAGTAAGCTCCTCCAACAAGACCAAGACAGCAACTCTTCTTCTAAGGCTTAGGTTTTGCCCAGTATTCCCGATACGTGGAATAGCCCATACCAACAGTCACTGCTCCTACAACAAAGCCCTGGGCTGCCACATGCATGTGGATCAGATGAACAGACATTTTAGTGTTTCCCCTGCTCTTCAATTTGTATAACCCATATGCAACAATTGCTATAAAACCTGCCATTCCAATGGGTACGAATGGTGCCTCTTTAGCTTTTCAAATAAGTTTGGATCCCTGATCTCCATCATATGAAGAAAGGAAAATATCTGGGTCTGCTGACATAGTGGTTGCTTGAAGAATCTCCCTGAGAATTTTCTATGAGGTTCTAGAGCAAGAAAACCTTTCACACGCCAACCTGCTGCTGATTCCTGCATGCGTGCCCAGTCCCACGGCTTCTTAGGCAACATTTTGAAGTAGGCAATGTGAGTATTATTACCATGACTTTAAGAAATCGAGGTCCATATATATAAAGCAATTTTCTCAAAATCACATAGCTGGCAAATGGCAGAGGGTACAACCCCAGTCTTGACTCAAATCTAGTTCATCTTTTCTCTAGATCAAGTCACTTTTGGGCCGGTGAGAACCCTAATAATGCCAGGAGCTCTATCAAATACTCAGAAGTATTTAAAGAACAAAGAAAAATCATTCAGATTAGAATTCAAGCCATTCAACAATTCTGTAAGGTCTTTTAGGCCGACTGACCATGCCATGGGTGGCAAAGCGACCTCTGCGACCTGCACGTACACTCCAGATGAGTTCCTGGAACTAGAAAGTCTGAAGTAAATGTAAAACCACAAAAGGAGAAGGAATGATCAACCCCTGCAGCACCTAATTAACTTTTAGGCATTCTTCTATTGTTCCTTATTCCTGCCTCAACTGATGAGGCAACTGGACTTTGTAACTGACCTTGGTCAACCTTGTGACTCCAGACCCTATGACCCCCTCCCAGCTTGCAAAAGCTGCCCTGACCTGTAACTTATATAACTTTCCACTGCCTACCCCAAACCTATAAAACCAACTCCTATCCCACCTCCCTGAGCTGACTCTCTTTTTGGACTAAGCCCACCTACACCTGGGTGAATAAACAGCCATGTTGCTCACACAAACCCTGTTTGGGGAATCTCTTCATTCAAAGCGCACGTTTAACAAATTCAATAAATATTTACTGGTCCCCTACCATATTCAAGGAATCACATTTTAGACACCGTAGAAAATTTAAAAAAAAAAAAAAAAAAAAAAAATTTTCCAGGCTTAACTTGCTCAGCCCACTAAAAAAAAAAAAAAGATAATCAATATGTGCCCACTGGCCATTGCATTCAAAGAACTGGCAGAGGGGGCCAGGTGCAGTGGCTGACACCTATAATCCCAGGCAGGCGGATCACTTGAGGCCAGGAGTTTGAGACAAGCCTGACCAACATGGTGAAACCCTGTCTCTACTAAAAATACAAAACTTAGCCAGGCATGGTAGTTGGTACCTGTAGTCCCAGTTACTTAGAAGGCTGAAGCACAAGAATTCCTTGAACCCAGGAGGCGGAGGTTGCAGCGAGCCAAGATCAACCTGGGTGACAGAACAAGACTCTGTCTAAAAACAAAATAAAAAAATTAAAAAGTTGACAGAGGGAAAAGAATCAATAGAGATTAGATTAAGACCATGTTTTTGCTTTCTCAGTGCCTATTACTTGGTATAATAGGGCCTCAACAAATGTTTGTTAATTTATGGATCAATCCCACATGTATAAAGCTCAAAGGCCTTCACAATTCACCTGACTTTCAACCATCTCCTTCATTCCCTTACAGTCTCAGAGGAAGACAGACCTTATTCGATGCCAAAACTAACTCTATTTTTATTCTTAATTCTATCAAGTTCCAGTTTTCTTTTCATAAATTAACCCTTCATTTCCACATATTCAATAGCTCTTTTCTTCTGATTCCTCTCCCTTAGGCCAAAGGAATATTTAGCTACACCTCCCTCACCCTGAAATATCAAAATACAAATAATACACATAGTAGGCACTCAACAAATGTTTGTTGGATTGAGGTGTGCCCTATCTATACTCTATAATCAAACTAAACCATTTACTATTCCCAAACACATCAACTCTTACCCAGCTCTCTTCCACAGCTTGTTTCTTCCAACTAGGTGGGACACTCTTCTTTCCCTTTTCCCTTTTAGAAACCTTTCACTTCTTTCAAAGTTCATTTAAAATGCCTTTGCCTTCATGAAGTCTTTCCTGTTCTCACAAACTGAATTCCCTCTTGCCTTCCTTTAACCCCATGCTTCCTCTTCTCCTCCCCAACAAACACTAATTCTAGACCTGTCATGACCTAACACTGTACCTCAATGCAACCATTCCATCAGATTGAAAGCTACTTGAATGCAATGTGAAAGGAAAATAAAAACTTGGGACCCTAATTTCACTATGCCAAAAGAAAAAAAAATAAGCTGAAAGTTGAGTCATGCAAGAAGCTGCCTTACCTTCTGTTCCTAAGCAGATAGCTACAGATAAAAAGTTAAATATCTCTACAGGTTCTATGTTTACCTCTATGTTCACCTTAATGTAAAGTGCTGATTTACTAAGCATGAGATGAATACTTGACTATTCCCCTACCGGCTCTTTTCCTCTTGTAACATGTGAATTCAGGAATGTGACCATGCCCTCCCCATTCCCCCTCCAGGCTGATTTTCCCTTTTAAGTACTGAAGCTCTCAAAATCATCTTTGGGGAAAGGCACAGATCTGTCTCCTGGGCACACATCCTTATCTTTGGTAAAATAAACTTCTAAATTGATTGAGACCTGTCTCAGATACTTTTTGGTTTACAACAACAACTGGGTTTTCCTCATTGCCATGGCATTTAACCCTTGCTTTTTTCTCTTGGCATTCCATAAATATTGCTTGAATTACATGAAATATCTTAACCACTCTGCTGTGATGTCTATTTTATCCCTACTGGATCAGGCATAATGTCACTTGGGTATACAGGACCCTGCTTTTCCCATGTTCTACAATCAAGAACATGGGAAATGTTCCAGTAGAAAGTAATTGGCCGGGCGCGGTGGCTCAAGCCTGTAATCCCAGCACTTTGGGAGGCCGAGGTGGGTGGATCACGAGGTCAGGAGATCGAGACCATCCTGGTCAACATGGTGAAACCCAGTCTCTACTAAAAATACAAAAAAAACATTAGCTGGGCATGGTGGCGCGAGCCTGTAATCCCAGCTACTGAGGAGGTTGAGGCAGGAGAATTGCCTGAACCCAGGAGGTGGAGGTTGCGGTGAGCCGAGATCGCGCCATTGCACTCCAGCCTGGGTAACAAGAGCGAAACTCTGTCTCAAAAAAAAAAAAAAAGAAAGTAATTGGGCTTTCTGTTTTTCTATTTTCTACAGTTTTGGGGAAAAAAAAATAAAAACCTTTTTAGTTTTACTTTTACCCAGACAAGAATAATTATCAACCTATAAAGTAATTTTTTTTTTTTAATGGGGTTTCACCATGTTGGTCAGGCTGGTCTTGAACTCCGGACCCCAGGTGATCCGCCCGCCTTGGCCTCCAAAGTGCTTGGATTACAGGCGTGAGCCACCACACCCGGCCCTATAAAGTAATTTCTACTTTATCTCTGAAAATCCTTATAGCTGCCCAAAGGCTCACAAACAGCCACTAGCTCAATAAAAATGCCCCTAGAAAATAAAGCCCTCTTCTTCCTAACTCATCACCAATACAAGATCTTTATGCTACTATTCTAAGGGAGGAAGAAAGGAAATAGAATATGTTAAAAAAACTGAGACTAAATTAGCATCTCAAAAAACTTATAGTTACTTATAGGTAAATGTTGTACCTTTGGGTCAATCTGCTGCTCCTAAGTTAAACATTTATTCATAATAAAAATGTAAAAACACTCGGCATTGAGCCTGAACTCATTTTAAAATGAGGAAAAAAAGCCTCTGAAGCTCCCTCCTTTTGATGAAACATACTGAGACAAAAGATCATCATGAAACATGAAATAGAATGTACTTGTATTGTTCCTAGAAAGCCAGTTTGCCTTGATTCATTTCTACTCCCTTGAAAGTTCGAGTTCCTAATGATTCTGGGAACAAGAGTATAAAATCTAAGATCTTTAAATGACAAAAATAAAAACAACGAGATGATCAGGGACTGATCTTATTTAAAATATTCTCCATTGGCCCTGAGGTAAAGCAACCAAAATGAATAGTACAAACAATGTTTTTTTTTTTTTCCATTGTATAAAAAAATGCTAAATACTGCAAATAAAGAAATGACAGTCAAGTCAAAACCTGTCTAATAATGATATACATAAAATAAAATAAAGGCCATCTCTACCACCACCCCACCTCTGCAATGGATCTGGTCTAGATCACCGTTCTCCTGGTCAGACTTCCATGTCTAATTTGTAATAATTTGTCTTAGGAAACAGTAACTCTCACAAATTTATTTCATTCAAGGTAATATTTGTTTGAGCTAGAGACTGTTACATTTTGAACTTACTTCCAGAAGAACTATATTCATTCATAAAGATGAATTAAAGAAATCACCGTAAAAAATGCAATTACAATCATTCTCTGTACTTAGCTTCACACAACAGGAGGATAATGCCAACACAAATGATCCTAATTCTAAGCATGAGCTCTCCTTAGAAAAGAGAAAGAAAAGGTCAGGCACGGTGGCTCATGCCTGTAATCCCAGGACCCTGGGAGGCCAAAGTGGGCAGATCACAAAGTCAAGAGTTTGAGACCAGCCTGACCAATGTGGTGAAACCCTGTCTCTACTAAAAATACTAAAGTTAGCTGGGCATGATGGCGCAAGCCTGTAGTCCCAGCTACTCAGGCGACTGAGACAGGAGAATTGCTTCAACCCGGGAGGCAGAGGTTGCAGTGAGCCGAGATAGCGCCATTGCACTCCAACCTGAACGACAGAGTGAGACTCCATCTCAAAAAAAAAAAAAGAAAGAAAGAAAGAAAGAAAAAAACTTGGGAAAAAATGGATTCCTTGAATGTAATAAGATTTGGTAGCTCGAATATCAATCACAAACACCCACCTGAACAAACAGCAACTGAAAGGCCAACATGTTCTATAAATGTTTCTTAAATAAATCTTTTAAGTAAAATCACTAACTCTTGGGCATCAGAATTCTGGAGTTACTGGATAAGATTAAGAATAAGAGCCCTCCTTATTAGACTCTGAAAACAGGCAGCCTAGGGGATGAAAAGATTACTGACTTTTATTAAATTGGAACAGAGGGAGGAATCGAGAGTGAAGAAAACTGCATTGTTGATTTCTGTTGGCTTTGGGGCCAATACAGTCGTCTACTTTTTAGAATAAGCAGTCCAGTCAAACACCAGTGCTGCTGCCTAAAGTTTCTCTGGCTCTGACTCTCCCTTTGTTTAACTTCTCCCACTGAGCATCCCTGGGTCAGCAGCAAACCTAGCAACTCAGGATCTCCCTTAGGAAACCTGGGCAAATCAGACTCTGTGGGAAGTCATTCTCAGGCCTCTACAGAGCTGCCAACATAATTCTCCCTGCTATTTGCTGAACAGGAGAAATGTAATGGAGCTCTAATCATATTATTGAAAAGGGCCTTCAAACAAGCAATCTGATTTTCAAAGGAGCATAGAATATCATGATTTTATTTAGGGAATTTACCTTAACAATATAAACTTACCCTCATCTAGAATACACTCAACTGCCTCATTTTAAAGATATTTCAACTGCCAAAGTCTCTTCCTTGTTTAAAAATAAACTCGCCGATCATTCCTTCATACAACAGATATTTATTCAGTGCCTCTTACATCTCAGGTACCACATGGTAAGGATTCTTCTGCCCCACGGAGGGACAGCTAGTTGTCCTGGAGATTAGTAGCTACTAATGTAGCTTATTAAACATTCCCATTCAACTAATGTGGAGAACACATGCCAGTGCCCACCTTCCCTTTATTCCACATTTTTAGGCTCATTCTTCTGCTATTAACTACATGAGTGCTGTGATTGGTATGCTAGGCATTTTTAAATCAGTGCTTCATTTGTACTAAGCACTGATTTAAAACAAACAAACAAACAAACAAAAAACAATAAAACAGGTTTACAAAGAATCCAGAAAAAAATCTCCAGGCCTGCCTATATACATGCCCAGCTATAGTTGTTCAGAAAGTGAACCCAGACAACGCAACAGCCACCTCTGCATATCCCAGCAAATATAAATTACCTGAAAACAGATGCAAACAAAAAGAGTTTCAATAAAAAAACTATGTGTTTCGCAGCTTTACAAAACATTGTATCAGCTATTCCTTAAACATAATTCAACTTTCTGCTTTTGTAATCTGTAATAAAAAGAGATTAAAACAATTTATAAAATTTGAATTACTAAGAGTAGGGGAGTAATGAAGGCTATTCCTACAAATACTGCAAAGCCACACACACAGAGACTCACTCACTCTGCTATGTTGAGATAGCCACAGGAAGCTGCTGCATGAAGGGGTGTCCAGCCCTCGTTGTCTTGCTGGTTTACATTGGCTCTGTTCTCCACCAGAAACTTCACCATGTCCAAATTTTCATCAATACAGGCCTAAAAAGAAAAGTCCGTTCATTCACTCAACAAGTATTCACCGAGTTCTACTATGCGCCAGACACTGCTCTGGGCATTGATAATGCTCAGCCATTCTAAAATACATTAATTTCTATTTCTTCCATACTGTGTCCAGAGCATGACTTCTAGGCTTTGTGATCTTATGCAAGCCCCTTAATGTCTCCATGTCTTAATATCTCAACTGTGAAACATGTATAATGATACTTAATCTTATTTATAGTACTATTAGTATTAATTGTGAAACTGATTTCTAAAGTGATATACATGAGTAAGCTGTTACATCATTATATTACAAAAAGGAAAGCATGTTACAAAACACTGATTTGTATATGAACTTTACTTCATCGCCACCTGTTTGTCCCAGATGCTTATTAATTTTAAAAGAAAATAATCAGAGGATCGCCTAAGGCCAAGAGTTTGAGACTAGCCTGGGTTTAACAGTGAGACCCAATCTCTATTATAAAAAAATTCATTCATCCATTCATTTAAAAAAGAAAAAAATCACACAGGATCAAATGCATTTTTTCTCAGCGGGAAGTTGTAGTTTAAGGCTCAAGAATTGCTAAACAACCCCTACTTTGGTTTGAAAGGGTAGGGTGATCATTTCAAACAGAAAAAATATATTTTTGTGTATTTCTGAATGGCTTCAAACACTATGGCAAAGTATGCTTGCAGTTATGGATGATTAGGGATTCTCATCTGCTCATTTCATGGCAGCAATTAGGAGAAAGCAGAGAAGCTTTTTGAATAAAGGCTTTAGGCTTACCATAAGACTAAAAGAAATAGTCACAAACAGCAATGAGATCTAAAAAAACCAAAAGGTTGTCTTGACATAGCTACAGAATAAAAATGTGGTAGAGGGCCCAATGTGAAACGGTAATCATTATCAAGGCTTGGATGGTTACAAAACCATTGGGATAATTCAGGACGAAGAAACAAATGAGACTCCCTTTTCAAAACTTGCCTTTTAATCCCCTCTCCTTTTTTATATTTTTTCGTGATTCTTGACAAGGAGTGCTTTAAGACAATCCCCTCCTTTAAAAAAACAAGGCTAAAACTTCAGCTAAGGAAGAATTATCCAAATCAAAAAATTTTCATAATAATATTATTTCTTGCATTTTTATTGTATTGACATTTACAATAATGATGCAAAAGCAATGGTGAGTAAAACTGCTGGTGTCTCACCACAAAGCAAGACAATCGCATCAAAAAATACCAGCAGGTACTGTATTCTTCCTTATCACATACTCACAGTTAAAAAAAAAAAAAAAAAAAAGCCAGTTTCACTGAAGAATGACTTTGAAGATGCAGTTGAAATTATTTTTTTTAATATTCTGTGTGAGAAAATGGAAAGTATATCTAAAGCACTTCTGCTGCATTTTGAAGTATGATGATTGATTCTAGGAAAAAGCACCTCAGGCCAGGCGTGGTAACTCATGCTTGTAATCCCAACACTGTGAGAGGCTGAGGCGGTAGGACTGCTTGAGCCCAGGAATTCAACACCTGCCTGAGCAACACAGACCCCCATCTCTACAAAAAATTTAAAAATTAGCCAGGCATGGTGGCACACACCTGCAGGCCCACCTACTCGGGAGGATAAGGTAGGAGGATGGCTTAAGCCTAGGAGGTCAAGGCTGGGTGAAAGAGCAAGACCTTGTCTCAAAAACAAAAACAAAAATAAAAACACACCATTTGTGCATCTGCTTCAATTATGAGATGAACTAGACACTTTTTTAAAAATAACACTTTTTATTCAAAAGAATAACCAACAACTTATGATTATTCAGACTTGAAAATGAACAAAGTAAGCCTGTCACTCCAGAGAAAATAATCAGTATGTGTTGCAATAAAATTTGACCATTCAAGTGAAAATAAGAATTCTGGGAAACAGTTACCACCATGAGCTGACAACTTCCCAGTATTCACTTTTCTGATAAGATCTGTTTGACTATCAACAAATCCGATTTGTTGATATTATATAATGAAATGTATTTACATTTGTATAAGTCAATGAACCTTTATTTTCCAAATAAACAAATGCATGGTGTTAGAAAAATCACACATGAAGTAAAAGATTCATTCAAAGTACAAGTTAGACCAATGGGTTTTAATGTAACAGAGTAAAAAAAGTCCATTGACATGGTTTCAGTTTCCACACTGCACAAACATTTAAGAAACTCATTTCTTAAACTACCATTTCTAAAACTTACATTTAAGAAACTGTCAGGTTGGGTGCAGTGGCTCACGCCTATAATCCCAACTCTTTGGGAGGCCGAGGCAGGTGGATCACCTGAGGTCAGGAGTTTGAGACTAGCCTGGCCAACATGGTGAAACACTGTCTCTATCAAAAATACAAAAACTAGACAGGTATGGTGGTACACACCTGTAATCCTAACTACTCAGGAGACTGAGGCACAAGAATCACTTGAACCCAAGAGGTAGAGGTTGCAGTGAGTCAGGATGGTGCCATTGCACTCTAGCCTGGGCCACAGAAACTCTGTCTCAAAAAAAGAAACAAACAAACCATCACTTGTTGGAATTTGGTATAATATCCAAGAAAAACAACTACACTTGTCTGAAGAGACTATTAAAATGCTCCTCCCTTTTCCAAATATATACCTTTGAGAGGCCAGATTTTATATACTTTCATCAAGATAATATATCACAACAGTGAATACAGACATTAAAAGAAATTTGTAAAAATGTAAAACAATATCATTATTTTTAATATGTCATTTATATTAACATGTAATGAGGGTCATCGTTGCTTTAGATTACTGAATAAGTAGATATTTAATAACTACATATTTTAAAAATTTCTCAGTAACATATAATAACCAATACAAACAAAGTCCTGTTAAATTTTGGGAGTCCTTAATGAATATATTTTTTAATATATATATTTTTTATTGCACTTTAGGTTCTAGGGTACATGGGTAGAACATGCAGGGTTGTTGTATAGGTACATACATGGCAATGTGGTTTGCTGCCTCCATCCCCCTGTAATCGATATCTGGCATTTCTCCCCATGTTATCCCTCCCCAACCTTCCTACCCACCGCTGTTCTGTATTCCCCCACAACAGACCCCAGTGTGCAATGCTCCCGTCCCTGTGTCCATGTGTTCTCGTTGTTAAACACCCACCTATGAATGAGAACATGTGGTGTTTTTTTTTTCTGTTCTTGTGTCAGTTTGCTGAGAATGACGGTTCCCAGATTCATCCATGTCCCTACAAAGGACACGAACTCATCATTTTTTATGGCTGCATGAATTTTTAGATATAAAGGAATCCTGAGATCAGTTTAATAACCACTGTCTTCAATCAAACATACCAAAAGATATTTCATGGTGATAATGAACACTATTTAAACAGCAAAAGGTTACTATGGAAAGAATTAAAGTTAGAACTCTAGAGGACCTTGTAGCACATATCATACCAAGAGAACTTACAGGAACTCCCTTCAGATATTAGAGATAAACCTCCTATCAATCCTGCCTAGAAAGGGATGAATGAAAAAAGGTTGATTTCATTTAGATGAAAGTTTAATTAGCTAACTTGGTTACAAAAAAGCATCTTTGTTAATTTTTCCCAAAATAATTGATACTCCTTTTACAGTTACTGAGATTAGCTAAAAATATCAATCTATGTTTGATTTGATGCTATATATTTCGCCAATCTGACCTTCTGGCCAATCTGACTGTTATAGCCAATACTCACAATGGTCTCGTTTTCAACAGCAGCTCCAGAAATTACATTTCTTCTATGATGTTTTCTTAGATTTATCAACTTTCACAAGCATACCCCATTCTTTACCACGTAAAATGTTTCATAATTATTCATCATATTTACACATGGTTCATAAGTATGTTTATCAATAAATTGGTCATATATTGTATGTCTGTGCATTTGCAATCCCATATGGCAAGGTCTAGCCAACTCATTGCAGAGTATCTCAACAAAAACTGTAAATAAATATTTTTATTTTATTTTTATTTTTCATAAATAAACATTTTTAAGTAAAAGGATGGAAGGGGACACTTTCAAAAAGGTACTGAAGTCCAAGAAGAAAAAGGTATTTTAAAGGTTGTACTAAAAACACTCTTTGCCCTTAATAATAACTCCTATATCAAGAAGGTCAAATGTGCCGTCTAAACCTGTGTAGGCCAGGACAGCTGGGTCAACTGCTTCTTGCTGGGTTGCAAAATTTCTTTGGCTCAGAAAGAACAATCTAAATGCTTAGCTCTAATGTCCACACTACTATCAAGCAGACTTTTGGAAGCTAGTGTTTTCAAGATCATTCTTTGGCCTTTAAAGACGACAGCAGCCACATTCCAGAGGCTCTAAAATAAGCCCAGCTAGTCCAGGTATCAAATGGGAGAAAAATTATCTTTTCTCTTTCCTCCCCCTTACTTCTCTTCTTTCTTAATCTCCTTCACCCCATCCTACTTCAGTTCTCTTCTTTTAAATTTTGTGATATTGTGTCTATAAATCTCAAATCCTTGATACAAAAAAAAATTTAAGACTGGGTCTTGCTGTGTTGCCAGGGCTTGTCTTGAACTCTTGGGCGTAAAAAGCCTCTTGCCTCAGCCTTCCAAGTAGCTGGGAATACAGGTACGCACATACCACTACAGCCAGTTTGATACAAAATTTTTATGAGAATGACATTCTAAGAAAGTTTGAGAGAACAACAACAAAACTAGCCTAATCTAAAAATGTAACGTGGTGATCATCAATCTGTGAAGAACCACCTTGGAGAAAATAAAGGAGGCCAAATGTTTAAATCATTCCCCATCCCTCCACAAAGTGAAGAATGATATTGTTAAAAACACCAGTTTTGGCCAGGCATTGTGGTTCACACTTGTAGTTCCAGCGCTTTGGGAGGCCAAGGCGGGAGAAGTCTGTGCAACATAGTGAGACTCCATTTCTATTTGTAAAATAAATAAAAGCACCAGCTTTGGAGTCAGACAGACCAGGGCTTG